TGACCTCATGGTACCTGCCTGAAGTTGTTATTGTAAGAAATAAATGAGTGAGTTGCTTTATACAAGAACACATAACATAGTAAGCATTCAGTGTTTAATCTTGACATCGATCCTGGCCTTACCCCACCATCGTCTGAGCTATCACAAGCATAGACCAACAGGGTAGCTTCTGAAGGTTGGGCAGAGGAGAGTTCTGATGTGTCATTGCTTGGCCCCAACTATGGAACGTATTCCTCCTTCCCCCCATGATTGTTTCCTCCCTGGTGATGGCCTGTAGTCTCTCTGACAAGAAGACAGACACCAACCAGATGTAACACTTAGGACTGCCTGGATTTCTCTTTGTATAAACAGAATGTGCTTTTTGACCAGTCTGTAGAAATCCTAAGGTAGGTTCTTAGGACTTAGGTGGGAGGTGAAGAGGAAGGGGAGGAACACAAAGGTCAATCATTCGAATAAACATTATTTAAGAGATTTCCAGACAGTGACTAACCTTTGGATTTACTGTTTTAAAGGTTTACGTCTATATTCCATTGGCCCTATTGCTTTGGATTCTCTGGTGACACTTTTCTTCTTGGCAGAAGTGTAAGGTGAAGTAAGCCACTCTCTTCTGAAGGCTGGGAAGCAAAAGAGAGAAGATAGCAACAGAAACTTAGGTTCCACAATTCCCCTTGAGTATATACCCTCAATGACCTAAGACTTCCGACTAGACCACCACTTTGAAACAGTGCCCCAAGCAAGAACCAGCCTTTAACATATGAGTCCTTGGGAGACATTCAGGGCCAATCTGTAGCCATTACCGTGGTTACACTGTGATTGACATACTGAGAGCAGGTCTAGTGCAAGTGCAAGATGGCTGTACCAGAGGAGCCTCCTCCCTTCCCCCAAAGGAACAGGGAGGACTGGGAGACAGGCAAAATGTACCAAGGCTACTCATACCAATACCAGCACCCCAGGTGATTCCTAAGTATTGGCCTATATCTCAGGTTCAGATCCTATCTAATCTGAGTAAGCTAATGATGAGCACAATCAAGGCCCATGGTAGGTTCTTGGTCAAGTAGTTAAGAAATACTATAGTAGTTTTCTTAGTACTGAGCCCCATATCATGGAAGAATAGGCTTAGGCTGTGCCCAGCCCAGGAGAGAAAATTTCCTGGGAAAGATGCTGATGAACTGATTTAATGTTAGCCTGACCCAGGGCATATTATCTGGGGATGCTCCAGGAAGCTGTGTTGTTTAGCCTTTGAATGGGAAAGTGTGTTGTCCAACACAAGGCGGCCATGCACTTTAGGTTAGTCCTCTTTGTCATGAATGCATCCTGACCAGAGGGTATGAGGGACAGTCACCCCCAAAGCCCAGTCTAGCCCAACAACATGACCCTCTACTTAACCCATGGGGACAGGGTAGTGTCTTTCCTGAAGGTTGGTTGCCAACCTTAGCTGTTAGAGAATCTGCTTGACATGACTGAGCCTTCACTGAGTGGGGCTAAGTAGAACTCCACCCCAGTGTGGCGTGGAGGCCCCACCTAGATACTCTGGAGGCCAAGGCCCCAAAAAGCTCCCACTCCCCGTGCTTTGCACACAGACTCCAGCCTAGATTGAGTCTCATTCTTACAAATCTAACTTTCAATGTGTGTGTCGTCATTCAAGCCCCTATTAGAGTATTCTCCCCAGAGTCTTTCATACAATTAGGCTGTTTTGGAACAGAGCTATTGTGGAGAAACTGAGAGATGGGTGGGCTGTTATGACAAAACTAAAATGCCATTGGCCAACTATCTCTGCAGTGTGGAGCTATAGACAGTTCTTCACAAAGGAAGAGCCAGACAAAATGAATCATTAAGGACATTTGGGTGGCATGCTAGAGCATAAACTTGGCCATTAAATCTATAGTTATAAAAGGGAAGAATGGTAGTCCAGTTGAAACAAAAATCATTCTGTATAGCCAATATGCTAATGAGAGATATTGAGAAAATATTGGGAGCCTAGATAAAAAATATTGATATATCCAATATGAAAAGTTTACATAAGGCAATAAAAAATTTAATCCATTAATTTTTTTGTTTAGAAACATAAACAAAATATATAAAAAAATCCCCTGAATGAAATAGTTGTTTAATACAGTTATAAGAAACTGATAAGATTTACTAGAATCAAGAAATAAAGATGTTAGCCAGGTGCAGTGGCTCATACCTACAGTCCCAGCTACTTAGGAGGCAAAGATAAAAGAATTATGGTTTGAGGCCAGCCTGGGCAAAAAATTAGCAAGACACTATCTCATTAACAAATAAGCTAACCTAGTGGTTCATATGTGTAATCCAAGCTACCCTGGCAGTGGAGGTTAGAGACTCACTCCCAGGCCAGCTACAGGCAAAAGCACAAGACCCTACAAAAAATAAAGGAAGGGCCGAAACTGTTGCTTAGGTGGGGCCCTTAGTTCAAACACCAGTATGGATTGAGGGAGGGGAATAGGGTGTGATAAGCAGACAATCAAACCATTTTCAGTCCTCCAGGAATGGCCCCCAGTGTGAGCTGGTGTATTTGTTCCAAAATAGGCTAATAAACTGTGGCTTCAACAGAAGCCAGTATATTTCTCTCCTGATGACAGGAGTCTGTGCTTCAATCATACTATCATCTGCTCTTCTTATCTCACCATATAGCCTATGGCCTTGAGCTCTAGGTCCCCAGCTACTGAAGCTGGAAGCAAGTTTGCTTCCTTGGCATTTTGAGATCAGTGTGTAATTATTATAGTCAGTCAGGTTTTTGACTGGCCTTGAGCTATTGGGGCATATGTGTAAGTACACAAATTATAAGCAAAGAACTGTGTTAAGCCCCACAAATCTGGGGTTACATTGACATAGCAGCAACCTGGCCACAGGGCCCCTATCCCCGTCTTGTCTTGGCCTTATCTCACTTGGCCGGTATCCCAGGATCCTCAGCCTGGAGTCTGAGACAGATTGCAGCTGGCTCCCTGCCAGGACTAGTGGCATTGCCTGCCCAATGGAGGCCAGCTCCCATATCCCCTGGGAATGTCCTCTGGGTGTCTGCTTTTAAGTTCCAGCCATGTGGGCCCAACTTTGGAAGCAGAAGGTGCTTTCCTGATTTTATTTATGTTATAATTATCTTGAATTCTTTGTGAACCCAGATTTACAAAAACAAAAAGGAATGAACTTGCAGGGTATAATTTTTAGCTAAAAGATGGAATCATCTGTTCTTCCACAGCATATCATGAGGTCTGAGATCCTGCCCTTTGACTCTTACAGACTTGTTCATTTTCAAAGACCCTAGAAGTGAAATGAGCAAACTGTTCAAGTCTGTGCCAGAAAACCATTGAAAAGCAAGACAAGGATAGAAATGGAGCCAGGAGTCAAAATATCAGGGTTGGGAAACACAGAAGAGAGAAACCCAGAAACACTGGCCAAGTCCTTCAGGACCTCACCTGGGGTGGGAAAGACACTGGAGAAAGGGCAGAGGGACAAATTAACTTAGAGGCTTGGGTCAGGTTGGTCATTTTCTGTCTGTAGGCCTGAACTAGGAAGTCAATCATAGTGACATACAAATTTGAAATTTGATCCTGCCCCTGGGGAGAAAGGCCCTGAAAAAGCCTCCAGCCTAGAAAGTCTGGGCCACCCAAAGAGAATGCAGTGCATGCATCTGCAGAGAGGGTCCACTCCGACCAGCAGACCAGCTTTGTTCCCACTCTTGGCAAGGTGCCATCTCCTGAGCACCTTCCAATACCTCCCTGGAGCCCTAACGGAACAAGAAAAAGCTGCAAAGCTGGAGGAACCCTCTGGAAGGATCTTCCTGAACTGTTGGATCAGTGTGATGGTCACAGCCAGGTTGGAGTGCGAGTCCTCCAAGGCTATGGCATAGTTTACAGCTTTCCCTGAAACACAGGCTGAGGACCGAGTTAGCAAGGGGGACACAAGATGAACCATGTCCCTTGTGGGCACTTTAAAATCCACAATGAGAAAGATCAATGGAGAATAATATACCCCTTGAGCTCATCCTGAACACTCACGAACATTTCCCCTGCTCTGGACCAGACCCAACTGTAGTTCATCCACCACATCCACATTCATTACCTTGTCCAATACCAATGTGGCCACCAAGTGCAGGGGAGGCTAAAATTGCTATTACTCATTTTACAGGTGAGGTAGTAGAGGCTAGATGAGCTAGAACTCCCACAGAATGGGTTACAGAGTAGGAAGGAGAGCTTAGACCTCCTGACTTAATTGTCCTGCAGTCCCAGAGCCTGCCCTGCCTCCAGCTCCCAATACCCCATACAGCCAGTGTCAGAAACACAAGCACATACCAGGCACCTATAGCTCATACTTGTAATCCTAACTATTCAGGAGGCTGAGATCTGGGGATCATGGTTCAAAGAAGCCCGGGTAGAAAAATCCATGAGACTCTTGTCTCCAGTTAGCCACCAGAAAGCCAGATTTGGAGGTGTGGCTTAAATGGTAGAGCATAGCCTTGAACAAAAAAGCTCAAGGACATCACCCAGATCCTGAGTTCAAACAGGACTAGCACATACTCATACATACACACACAAGCACTCATTGTTAGGTGGGTGAGGGCAGAATGAGCAATGCTTGGGCATGAGGAGCTAGGGATACCACAGCTTTCTCTTGGTAACCATTTGGGGGGAGGGGGTCTCATTCAGCTTTGATTCTGAGTCCCAGCTGACCAGACCATGGATGATGTGTCATAGTAACTGCCCTCTCTGTCTTGTATGTATGTGTCTTTGTGTGTGTTCTTGTCTTATAGAAGAGTGTGATTTCTCCTTCTGGGCCATTCGTTGATTTCCAATGTGGAACTAAAGTAAAGAGGCCAGGACGGAGCCTCCACCAGCATCCAGTGTGACATCTCCTGAGCTGGGCCAAGGGATGCCTGGGCCATGGACACAGAGGTCCCCAACCTTCAGCCATTTGCATAGTACACAGGGGACTTGTGGGGGCCACTTGTCACTGCTAAAGGACATGATACAATGGCACTACTGACATCCTCCATGCTGTTTTCATGACAGACATATGGGCAGGAAGCACTGTCATGCTTTCTGTCTGTGAAGTCAAGGGCCATGCCTCACTGATTACAAATGGCTTGGGCCCTGATGACCTGCTCTGAATCTACTTTCAGCCAGTGACACTTGCAAAAAAAAAAAAAAGAAGAAGAAGAAAGAAAAAGAAAAATCCAAAAGCCGTCTTAGGGTCGGCTTCCACAGCTCTTGACCCATGTGGTCAAAGCTGGATAGCTCCTTGGGACACTCAGATTCTTCATAAATGCAGCATCCCCCAACCCTCCCTAAATAGCATCTGAAGTCTCCAGGAAGGTCATGGATCCTGAACAAAGTGTCAAGGGTACCAAGAAGGTGGAGGGAAGTCCCCGGAAGCGGCTGACTAAAGGAGAAGCTGTTCAGACCAGTGTCTCCTCCAGCACCCCCTACGCAAGCAGTAGCACATCTGCCACCCAGGAGAGCACCTCCCAAGAGCTCCTAGCCCCGCAGCCCTTTCCGGGCCCCTCATCAGTTCTTAGAGAAGGCTCTCAGGAGAAAATGGGCCAACAGCAAAAGCCCCCCAGAAGGCCCTCCATCGAGGCCTCTGTCCACATCTCTCAGCTTCCACAGCACCCCCTGACACCAGCGTTCCTGTCACCCGGAAAACCTGAGCATCTCCTAGAAGGGTCTACGTGGCAACTGGTCGACCCCATGAGACCTGGCCCTTCAGGTTCCTTTGTGACTCCTGGGCTCCATCCACAGAGCCAGCTCCTCCCTTCCCATGCCTCCATCCTTCCCCCTGAGGAACTACCTGGCATCCCCAAGGTCTTTGTACCCAGACCTTCCCAGGTCACCCTGAAGACTACAGAAGAAGCCCACAAGAAAGAGAGGAAACCCCAGAAACCAGGCAAGTACATCTGCCAGTACTGCAGCCGGCCCTGCGCCAAGCCCAGTGTGCTACAGAAACACATCCGCTCACACACAGGCGAGAGGCCCTACCCCTGCGGCCCCTGCGGCTTCTCCTTTAAGACCAAGAGCAACCTCTACAAGCACAGGAAGTCTCATGCCCATCGCATCAAAGCGGGCCTGGCGTCAGGTTCTGGCAGTGAGCTGTATCCTCCGGGGTTGGAGATGGAGAGGATCCCTGGGGAGGAATTTGAGGAACCCACCGAGGGAGAAAGCACAGACTCTGATGAAGAAACTGCCACCACATCTGGTCCCCCTACAGAGGCCTCCCCCAGACCTAAGCACCCTCTTCTATCCAGCAGCTTGTACAGCTCTGGGAGTCACAGTTCCAGTCATGAACGCTGCTCCCTGTCCCAGTCCAGCATGGCAACATCATTGGAGGACCCCACCCCATTTGTGGAACCCTCATCCGAACATCCCCTGAGCCATAAACCCGAAGACACCCACACAATTAAGCAGAAGCTGGCCCTGCGTCTGAGTGAAAGGAAGAAAGTAATTGATGAGCAAGCATTTCTGAGCCCGGGCAGCAAAGGCAGTACTGAATCTGGGTACTTCTCCCGCTCTGAGAGTGCTGAACAACAAGTCAGTCCCCCAAACACCAATGCTAAGTCCTATGCGGAGATCATTTTTGGCAAGTGTGGGAGGATCGGGCAGCGAACCACCATGCTGACAGCCACTTCCACCCAGCCCCTGCTGCCCCTGTCTGCAGAAGATAAGCCCAGCCTGGTGCCTTTGTCTGTGCCCCGGACACAGGTGATTGAGCACATCACAAAACTCATCACCATCAATGAGGCTGTGGTGGACACCAGTGAGATTGACAGTGTGAAGCCCAGGAGGAGCTCTCTGACCAGGCGCAGTAGCATGGAGTCCCCTAAATCCAGTCTCTACCGGGACCCCCTGTCATCCCACGGTGAGAAGACAAAGCCGGAACAATCACTACTAAGCCTCCAGCACCCACCCAGCACCACCCCCCCTGTGCCTCTGCTTAGAAGCCACTCAATGCCTTCCGCTGCCTGTACCATCAGCACCCCCCATCACACTTTCCGCGGTAGCTACTCCTTTGATGACCACATCACCGATTCCCAGGCTCCAAGCCACAGCAGTCCGGTGTTTACCTCCCATCCCCGGATGCTGAAGCGCCAGCCGGCCATTGAACTACCTTTGGGAGGTGAGTACAGTTCAGAGGAGCCCGGACCAAGCAGCAAAGATGCAGCCTCCAAGCCCTCAGAGGAACCAGAACTCAAGGAAAGTGAACTGACCAAAAAGACCAAGAAGGGATCAAAGCCAAAAGGGATGACCTATGAATGCACCATCTGTGGCGCTCGGTACAAGAAGAAGGACAATTACGAAGCCCATAAAAAGTACTACTGCTCGGAGCTCCAGATCACAAAGCCTCTCTCTGCAGGTGCCCGTGCCTCTCCAGAAGCTGAAAAGGGTCAAGCAGAGCATGAGCCATGGTCCCAGATGATGCATTATAAACTGGGGGCCACCTTGGAACTCACCCCACTGAGGAAGAGAAGAAAAGAGAAGAGCCTTGGGGATGAGGAAGAACCACCCGCGTTTGAGTTGACCAAAAGTCAGTTTAGCAGCCCTGGACCATCTGACACTGCTCGGAACCTCCCCATGGAGCCCACCAAGTCACCAGCAGAGCCAAGTAAATCACTGGAGGGAACCACAAGCTTCCAGCCAAGGACTCCCAAGCCAGGATCTGGGTCAGAATCAGGGAAGGAAAGGAGAACAACATCCAAAGAGATTTCTGTCATCCAGCATACCAGCTCCTTTGAGAAATCCGACCCTCTCGAGCAGTCCAGTGGCCTAGAAGGGGAAGACAAGCCCTTGGCCCAGTTCTCAACCCTGCCACCTGCCCCGCCAGGACGTCCAGCTCACTCCCTGCAGCCTAGGTTAGTACGCCAGCCCAATATTCAAGTCCCTGAGATCCTGGTGAGTGAGGAGCCTGACCGACCAGACACAGAGCCCGAGCCACCCCCAAAGGAACCTGAAAAGACAGAGGAGTTTCAGTGGCCCCAGCGCAGCCAGACGCTCGCCCAGCTCCCTGCCGAGAAGCTGCCTCCCAAGAAGAAGAGGCTGCGCCTAGCAGAGATGGCCCAGTCATCGGGGGAGTCTAGCTTTGAGTCATCTGTGCCTCTGTCTCGCAGTCCCAGCCAGGAAAGCAGTATCTCTCTGAGTGGCTCCAGCCGCTCAGCCTCGTTTGACAGGGAGGACCATGGGAAAGTCGAGGTCCCTGGGCCCTCATCCGAAGTCCGCTCCAAACCCACGGGCACCCACATGCTGACTGTCCCCAGCCACCACCCGCATGCCCGAGAGATGCGGAGGTCAGCCTCAGAGCAGAGCCCCAACGTGTCCCATTCTACACAAATGACTGAGGCACGCAGCAAATCCTTTGACTACGGCAGCTTGTCTTTGGCAGGCCCGGCTGCAGCAACGCCAGCTGCTCCACCAACCCCAGCAGCCCCACCTGAGAGAAGAAAATGCTTTTTGGTGAGGCAGGCGTCTCTGAGCCGGCCTCCAGAAGCTGAGCTAGAGGCCACCCCTAAGGGAAGGCAGGAAAGCGAGGAGCCACAGCCCTCTTCCTCCAAATCTTCGGCCAAAAGCTCAGTGCCCCAGATCTCCTTGGCAGTCACCTCGCACACTGGGCACCCAGGAAGCAAGAGCCAGGTGCAGGACAGGCCCCCACTGGGGTCCACCCCACCCTACACAGAAGCCCTGCAGGTGTTCCATACCCCTGTCGCCCAGCTGCCCCTGCAGGAGAAGCCATACTTGCCCCCACCCGTCTCCCTCTTCTCCTTCCAGCATCTCCTGCAGCATGAACCCGGACAGTCTTCAGACTTCATGGCCACCCAGGCCATGGCAGGCCTCCTCTCCTCCCCATACTCCATGCCCCCACTCCCTCCTTCTGTATTTCAAGCCCCACCGCTTCCTCTTCAACCTACTGTCCTGCACCCCAGCCAGCTCCATCTTCCCCAGCTTCTGCCTCACCCGGCCAGTATCCCCTTCCGACAGCCCCCCTCATTCCTCCCCATGCCACACCCTGCTTCCTCCGCACTCTCTTCCGGGTTTTACCTGCCTGTGCCGTCCCCGTTTGCACTGCAGCTCCCTGGGGAGGTGGAAAGCCATCTGCCCCCAATCAAAACTAGCCCGGCCCCACTGGCAACAGGACCTTCTGGCCCCTCCAGCAGCACTGAGTTCAGCAGCAACATCCGGCTGCCCCCTGTGGCTCCTCTGACCAGCTCCCCAGAGCCCACCGCGGCCCTTCCACCCGCTCTGCCTGCTTGTGTGGACTCCGGGGCGTCCCTGGTGGTGCCTGTCCGAATCCAGACCAACATGCCGTCCTATGGGCGTGCAATGTACACCACTCTTTCTCAGACCTTAGTGACCCAGTCCCCAGGCAGCTCAGTAAGCGTGGGTCTTCCCAAGTGTGAGGAGCTGCCAGCCGCAGGGACGGCTGTGTGCGGAACAGACGTGTACGACACCAGGCTCGGACCATCTGGGCTAAGCGAAGAGCAAAGCAGAAGTTTCCAGACTCCATACCTGAGAGTACCTGCGGCATTCCCTGAAAGAAAAGGCACCTCCTCCTCCTCGGAGGGGGTCTCGAGCCTGGAGGGAAGCTCATCAACAGCTGGGGGAAGCAAGCGCGTTCTCTCCCCAGCTGGCAGCCTTGAGCTCACCATGGAAACCCAGCAGCAGAAAAGGGTAAAGGAAGAGGAGGCTTCCAAGGTCCACGAGAAACTAGAGCTGGTGAAACCATGCAGTGTAGTGCTGACCAGCCCTGAGGATGGCAAGAGGCCAGAGAAATCCCACCAAGTCAGCCAGGGCCTGGGCAGGAGAGAGCCAGAAGCATTGTCCAGCCTGTCCTCTGATCCATCAGACCCAGAAGTTCCTCCTCTCTCTCATCATCCCACATTGCCCCATGGGACAGCCTCAAGCTCAGAAGCTTTGAAGGACTATGCCCAGTCATCTGGAAAACCTCACCGAAGAGGGCTTTGCCCACTAAGCATGAAGCAAGAAGATTCCAAGGAACAGCTCGACCTCCCTCCCTTGGCACCTCCCAGCTCTCTGTCTCTGTCAGAAATATCCTCCAGAACAGCCAAGTCACAAGAAGGTACGGACTCAAAGAAGGTACTTCAGTTCCCCAGCCTCCACACGACCACTAATGTCAGTTGGTGCTATCTAAACTATATTAAGCCAAATCACATCCAGCATGCAGATAGGAGGTCCTCTGTTTACGCTGGTTGGTGCATAAGTTTGTACAACCCCAACCTTCCAGGGGTTTCCACTAAAGCTGCTTTGTCCCTCCTGAGGTCTAAGCAGAAGGTGAGCAAAGAGACATACACCATGGCCACAGCTCCACATCCTGAGTCAGGAAGGCTCGTACCAGCCAGCTCTCACAAGCCACGCATGACAGAGGTGAGTTCAGCTTTGTTCTTCTTAACACTGAATGCCAAAGCCCTTGATGGGCTTTTAAGGCCACATGGTCTTCAGGTTACATTTGTAGAACTAGAACCAGCCGAAGGAGACAAATTTTCGCCCTGACAACTGTGACTGCAAGGAAGCATGCTTTTTGGGTTTCTTTACCAGTGTGTCCTTTGATTTATTGGAATAGACAACATTGCAATTGTGGCCAATAAAGTGATGGTTTATAATGCTACTTTCATAAAATGAGCTAAAATCTTCTAACTTTTCCACATCTCCTTCCAAAAGTATACCGGGCTAATACATTACTTTAACTTCATGGTTAACAAGTTGAGGCCTTTCTACAGTTATACTTTCTCTGGCCTCTGCTTGCATATCTCCGGTTCCAGAGAGCTCATCACCTCCTGGTTCAACCCAACCCATCTTTGAATAATGCTTTAAGAAAATTCTCTGTTACATGGAGCTGGCAGTTGTCATTCTGTGGCTTCCATTCTTTGTTAATTGTTCTGAAAACATCCTTTACTTAATCTAAGCACCTCAAAGATTTTTCCAACCATCTTCTTACAGGTCTAGGCCATCCTAGCACATTTGCGTTTGACTTTATACTTTTCTCTGTGTCTCAGCCCTAGAGAAACCCAAGTTGTGTGAGAGTCCACTTTGCTGCCACATGCTCATTCTTTTGTTTTTCTCCTTGTTCATTTTGACAAGCCCAGAACCTTCAAAAGGAAATTATCAATGAGCACTCCAGCGTCAAATTGCCACGGTTTGAATCCCACTAGTTACTTCTCCTCTGTGCTGTGGTTTCTTCACTTTAAAACAGGGATAACAGCTGGGTACTGGTGGCTCATGCCTATAATTCTAGCTACTCAGGAGGGTGAGGTTTGAGGATCGTGGTTTGAAGCCAGCTCAGGAAAGAAAGTCCATGAGACTCTTATCTCCAATTAAATAGCAAAAAAGCCAAAAATGGGACTGTGGCTCAAGTGATAGAGTGTTAGCCTAGAGAAAAAAAAAAGCTCAGGGACAGTGCCTGAGTTCAGGCCTCAAGACTCACACACACACACATACACACACACACACACACACACATACACACACACACACACACACACACACAACAATAATACTTATCTCAGGACTATGGAGGATAAATAAATGAGTTAATATACAAAGTGTGCATAAAACAGTAGATGGCCCATTGATATCCAGTAAATGTTTTTATCTATACTAATTCAGATTGCCATTAAAAGCTAAACTGAAACTAAGCACTGGTGGTTCACTCCTATAATCCTAGCTTCTTATGAGACTGAAATCTGAGAATGAGGATGGTGGTTTGAAAGCCAGGCTAATTAAGCAAGAAAGTCCATGAGACTCTTATCTCCAAGTAACCAGCAAAAAGCTGGAAGTGGATCTGTGGCTCAAGTGATAGAGCACCTCTTGAACAAAAAAGCCAAAGGACAGTACCTGGACCCTGAGTTCAAGTGCCAGTACCAGTGCATGCATGTGTGCGTGCACATGCATGCACACACGTATGCATGTGCACACACACACACACACACACACACACACACACAAAGCTAAAATAAATCCTAGGTCTCCTATTCAGTGCTAACACTGTGTTTCTTGGTACCATGGATCGTGCCACTGAAACCAACATCCTCCAGCTTGATTCAGGCATCACTACAGAATATAAGGGAGAAGGTACCATCTGTCTGATAGACCCTTTGGTCCCTCTTGAATCACAGGCCACATGAGGAATAGAAACCATATGCTTGGAAATCCACAGGTGCTGTTCTGCCAAAGCAGCAGTGTAGATTTTTGCTAGAACTCAGATTCCCTGTTTGCCAGGCAGGTGCTTTTTGTCCCAGCCCTCAGCCTGGCACCTGTGCTCCCTACACCTATGGTGGGTTCAAAGAACATGTTCTAGGAATAGTGGAAGTGGTCAATGCTAGCCCTCCTTATAGAGCCAGATCACTGAGGCTCAATACTTTGCCAAGAGAATGTGTTTGCATGGAGCAGGAGCCCAAAACTTTTATAGCTTCTGTGGGCTATGGTCAGTTAGCTTGCTCCTGGGCTTTGGTCCTAGTTCAGGAGGGTCAGGATCCTGGAAAGGCTGGACTCTACTCCCAGCTCTGTCCTTAACCAGCCGTGTGGCTTTGGCTTTCTGATCTATTAACGAGAATTGGACCAGTTAATTCCAAAGATAGAGTATAGTCTTTATTTGTTCAGTATCCTTTGGGCCTCTTCACTGAAGTAGACCTGTTTTGGGTGCCAAGGTGATTGAGGAAAACAGGATACGGATAAAGACCTGTTCCCAGGAGCTCCCAGATTCATACAAAAGAACAAGAGAAAAGCAGCTCCCATAAGAACGTTAACTGAGGCCGGGCGCAGTGGCTCACGCCTGTAATCCTAGCTACTCAAGAGGCTGAGATCTGAGGATCGTGGTTCAAAGCCAGTCCAGGCAGGAAAGTCCGAGAGACTCTTATCTCCAATGAGCCACCAGAAGTGGCGCTGTGGTTCAAGCGGTAGAGCGCTTGCCTTGAGCTGAAGAGCGCAAGGATAGCACACAAGCCCATAGTTCAAGCCCCATAACTAACCAAAAAAAAAGTAAGAAAGAACGTTAACTGAGAGTCCTGGATAGAGGGGAGGCTGCACCTCAGTGGATCAGTTCTTTGATTCTGTTGAGTACTTGGCACTGCTCCAGCAGGAAGGGGGAGGATCAGGGGAGTCTCTGTGCATGTCTTCAATGCCATTCAAGACAATATTGGGACACTTCTAGCCCAGAATACAAATTTAACCAGCAGTGATTTGTCGTCCCTGCGGTGGGCAGGTGCACCTCTCGTCACTGGTTTCCCCAGAAGGCCAGAAAGACATAACTAGAGTGGAGAAAGAAGAGGAGAAGCGAGGGAAGCCGGAAGAGGATGCTCCTGCCTCCAAGAGAGGGGAGCCGGCGAGGATCAAAATCTTCGAAGGAGGGTAAGACACTCACTTGGATTTCAGTCTGCTTCCTAGGTATATAATAAGAGGCCGTGCTGCCCATGCAGGGCAGTGCTCCCGGGTGCCCATGGTTCCTGCAATGCCTCTCTGCATTGTGGGACTCATGAGCTTCCCATTTGAGAACATTTGGTGGGAGGGAGGGTCCTTGCTGAGATGTTTGGTGCTGGGTGTTTGCTGAGGACCTGGGAGTCCAGTTCTTTCTCCATCCTTGAATCCTCGGCTGCTGGCCATTTTCTCACCCCTGCCCTGGGGGAGAGGGGAGATGGTGGGTCTCCTGTGGCTGCTGTCTCGACTACCAATTCCTTTGAAATGTGTTTCTCAGGAGTCACTTCTGTCTGCCCAGGTCATCCCCACATGCCCAGTTTTCCATGGGTACTCACTCAGGCCTTGCGCATGAGGCTGCCACTCCTTCAGACTGGCTGGGCTTGAGGCTGACTGATTGCAGCCCTGGTTATTAACCTGTGCTCACCTGATGAGCTATATGTTTCAGAACTTGCCATTCTGGGAACCTTCTGGGCTCTAGTAGTGCACCTTGCTTTAGATGTGCTTTGCAAAAATTCCTCGTGCCAGCTGTGTTCTTTGTGGCTGCGTGTCTGCTTCCAAGGTGTGGTGTCTGTGAGCAGGTGCCTTGGTGTCTGTCTCAGGGTCTTGTGTCTGTGTCCCTCTTGTGATCGAGGTGGTTGGTCCCAGTCCTATGTGGTCTGGAAGGACAACAGCGTGTAGGAAAACTGACCTCCAAACCTTGGCCAACATGAGCTGTCACTGGGGGCCTGTGATACTCCAGCACCTGGGACCAACAGGAGATCAAAATGACAGGTGCCTCAAGCGACAGGCACAAAAGCCCTCCAGACAGTTGAAAAAGAAGAAAACAGAGACTGCCACACTCCCCAAGATCCCCAGTTGGCATCCTCTGGTGGCACTAGTCTGAGGGTCTCTCCGAGGGGGGGGAGGGACTGGTTATCCCAATGATGGGAACAGGTCAAGGGGCACAAGTGTCACTGAAGCACACTACTTCAATACCAGTCATGGTTCCATGGAGGAACACAGAACCAAAGGTGTTTCTGAACGCTGACCCTCTCTCTACCTGGTTTTCTGCTCATGCCATTTGGTTAGAGCGCCCTCTTGTGTCTCTGGATTCTCCTACCACTGAGTCCTTAGGATCCCAGGATTCATGCATGCATCAGGTTGCAGAGAAGTCGCCCTGTGGGGCTCTTGAGAAGCCACATGGTGATGTTTGCAGGCCAGGAGTAGCTGACATTTGTGCCAGTGGCCTTCCAAGTAGAGGCCCAGTTCCCAACCCCTCTATCCCCCAAGCTGCTTGTGTTCCTCTGGGCAAGGTACTAGCGGCGTCCTCTCCCTGCCACACACCTCTGCCTTCCTGTGAAAGGTAAGAAGCCACACCAGAGTCTGCCGCTCTCCTTGCAGCCTGAATAGTCTCCCCCTCCTCCTTGACCCATGCAAGTTTTCACAAGTCACGCCTGCTATTCAGAATCTCTTTAGAGAAGAGGATTATTACCTCTGCTTCCATGCAGTGGTCCCAACTATCCCTGTCCAACCCCTGCCATGCTCTGACTCTCTAATTCTGTGTTCTTATTTGTGAAGGGGACAGTAACACACCCATGGTATGGAGGTCCCAGGAGGCCTGTGAGAAGGGCCAGGTACACAGGAGCTGAGCATCTGGACAGACACGGCGGGTCCAGACCCAGTGTGCCTCGTTTCTTAACTCCACCTCACTCTGCTGTCTGTTGTGGGAAATGTCATCTTCATTCTTACAGCTTGGGTTTTATGAGGCTGATGTCACTCTCGGGAGTATTTTCAAGTGTGAGAGAGAATGGAACACATGCCTGGAGTCTCATAAATGGGTCCAGGGATGCAGACCATCTATTTGACCAACCTACAAGCCACTAATGGAATTCCATTCCAGAACAACCCAGAATGTATCCTTGGGCCCTCCATTGGTATCACAGTGTAATATTGCTTAGACTGGGTTCTTCTTTATTCATTTTCTTTCTTTTCCTTTTTGTAATACAATGTTTTTCACTCCAGTACCTGTTAGAGAAGGGTTTGTAAATGGGGCCTGGTCACTAAGTCCACCAACGGATCTAGGCCAATGCAGGCCCCAAAAGGAGGAAACAAAGTATGGTCTATCATGTGCCGGTTTTAAACTTTTCCCCTTCTGGAAGTTTAAGGTCTTTGCTCCTGTCCATTTGGCCAGAGAAAGTCACATGGCCTCAACAAGGCCCTCAAAGTGGGATCATACAGTTCTACCTGTGCTTGGAAGAACCTGAAACATTCTGTAGCTAGTGCTGGTGATAACACTAGTCTGTTTGCCATCTGTCTGTGACTGGTTAGTTTTCCACAGGTGTTTCTAAATGTGTCCACATTGCTGTATAAAGATCCAGTTATGATGATGTGCTAATAAGCCAGGCAAGGAAGAGCAGATGCTGGGTGTACAGTATCCTCAAGTTGTTCCATTGCTAGCCAGCCTCCCCCTTACTCTTTCTTGACCTCCAGTCCAGCAGTGAATCAAGGAGTCAGTCTTTCAGCCTTCATGGAGGATCTAATTAGTCAATGCCTTAGAGGTGCTCTGGGCTGATCGTCCAATCCTTAAAGTGTTTGGCAACCCAACCAAAGTTACCATGCAAGGCCCTGTGCTGAGGTGGGGGCAGTGGGGCTGAGGAGAAAGCTGCCCAGGGGCTGGATCAGCTAAAAGGGTGTGGGACCAGGCCTGACAGGGTAGTAAGAGCAAAGAGCTTGGTAGTGAAGGAGTCTCTTTAACAGTCTGGAAGTGATGGAGGCCCACATAGTTGGCCAGCAAGATTCATTTCTTCTTGTCCTCAATGTCTCCCCAAACATCTTCTTCCTTCCCTTCAAACCTCATCGCAGATTTGAGCCTACACTCCTGAATTGTAGATCTTGCTTTGGATACCTCGTGCCCTCTTTGCTTGGGAGATCAACAACTCCTCAAGTTCAGCCTGTGCCAACCAAACCCTCTACCTCTCATCCACATCTTCATCCACATCCAAACTTTGAGCGACACACCTGACCCTCTCATTCAGTGTCACCTTAAACTCCTCTCTTCCCCTTCCAATTAGTCCCTAAATGTTTTCTTCTTTTTTCAGTGTTGGAATTCGAACTCAGAGCCTCCTGCTTGTTAGGTGAGTGCGCTATCACTTGAGCCACGATCCCTGTCCTTTTTTCTTTTCATCTGCTTTGTTTTTCCTTATCAGATAGGGTCTCACCAGCCCGGTCTAAGGTGACCCGGAGCCACAATTCTCCACCTCCCAAATAGCTGGGACCACAAGCATGAACCACCATGCCCAGCTTTAATTTGTCCCCAAATTCTGGTGTCCACACAAAGTTATCAAAGGCTCAGTATGGCTTCTTTTCTCCCTCTCCTACTGCTCTGGCCAGCCATTCTACAAGTAGCAATGTTGGTCTCTTTGGGCACCATTCGGTGTGGTTTTGCCTGTGCTGTGCTTGGGTTCCAGAGCTTTCTTTGGGTGCATTACCCCTGGTCCCACCGTTCAGCCTGTTCCTTGTACTTCACCTCTACTGTCTACCTGGCTCTGCCCATTGGCAAATCCACGTGGTCCTCATAGACTGGTGCTACCCACCTCTGGCAAACCTCTCAGACCCCTCCACACACCATAGTTCTTTGTGTTACTTCTGTCCAACACTGATGCTAAAACTCCATCTGCTTCCTCAGGTCTCTTCTTGACTTGTTCCTGGGACAATGTTTTGTCCGCACTGTGTCAGCCCCTATTTAGTTGTCCTGGTTTCCTAGTATACAACCAACATTGCTGGTCACTTTCATACCTGAACAAAGCCTGTGTTTTCCAGACAGCTTTCTGGGAGTGGCATGGGGAATGTGTTGGCCCCCGCCCAGTCTGGTCATGTAGAAGGACTCTCCTGAGAAGCAGTGATTTCATACATACAAAGTTACATTGTTTGTGGAGGGTGATGATTTTTCTGACGTTGTCCTGACTCAACTTCTCTTGCTACAAAGAGAGCTGGGAGCCCAGCCCAGCAAGCCAAACTAAAAGAGGAAGTGCCTAGAATTGATACGAAGTACCTGACTGCCAGCAGTGGCAGCCAGGGTGAGCCCTTGGCACTGGGATCTGAAGGGAGTGATGAACTCACCTGGTGAGACCCTGGAAGGCCAGGGCCAGCTGGGGTCGCACCCTCAGGAAGCAGATCATGATGGGTGGCTTGGGTTTGGAGGGAGTGGCAGCCATGTGGGCTTGGAGCTGTAGTGCGGGGCAGTGACATGTCGGCTGGCCCAGGAGCTCTGCAGGGAAAGCTCAAGTGTGCTCCCCTGGGACAGCCAGGTCCCATCCCTCACAACGCATCCACACCTTGCTGCATCCAAATGAGCATTCCAAACAGTCCTTTGACCATGGGGTATCCCTCGCAACCCCTGTCACTCATGCCCTGTGCCTTCTGAAACAGGCCTGTGGCCCCGTCTCCTCCCTGATCTGAGTTACTGCCCTACCCCTGCTCCCATGCTCTAGCCAGTGGTCTCTCTGTCTGTGTGAGACATGCTTCTGCCTCTCTGGCCTCTGCCGTGAGAGCTTTTTTTTTTCCAGAGTGGCTCCCTCACCCTCTTAAGCCACCCTTCCATCACAAATTCCCAGACCAACCACTGTGAACTTACACCTTCCTCTGGCGTGTGTGAAACCTCCCCATCCCTCACTTCATTTTCTCCATCCATTTTTTCCTGCTTGTGTCTCCTTTACTTCAGCTAGTGAGTGTAAGAGCAAGGAGGGTAAGGCAGGAATCAAGCATGGCTACCACACTTTGGCTTAGATAGAAAGGGCAGGAGAGGAGCATGAGAACCACGCTGGGGGATGGGAGATCAGAGCATCCTGGGCCTCTAACTTTGAGGGGTCCGTGATCTAAGTGAGGATGTTGAATGAGCTGTGTTATGATTAGTACAGGGGGGGAGGGGGAGGGGGGCTGGCCTCAGGAACAGGAAA